ATTCGCACGCGCCTCATCAGCGCCTATGAGGTGCCCAAAGCGCTGCTTTTCCGCGAGATCGTCAAGCCCGGGGGTTTAGGCGATCGCCGGCCATCGCAGCTACTTCGCGACATGTGCAACAGTATGCCGCCCGGCATAGGTGAAGATGCGTTAAAGGAATTTTGGCTACAGAAACTCCCGTCGAACGTTACCGCCATCCTCGTTGGTCTTGACGCATCGTTGGACGAACTAGCCACGCGCGCAGACCGTATATTGGACGTTTCCAACCCGCAGAGCGTCGACGTCCTATCCAAGGAACAGTTCAGTGACCTGGCCGGCGCTGTGTCCACGTTGTCGCAGCAGGTCAAGTCCCTCACAAAAATCGTCAACTCCGCAGGAGGGCCCTCGCAATCGCGATCACGGGCACCCGCGCGTTCTGACACGCAACAATCAGGGGATATGTGTTTCTTCCACGCTAGATTCGGCAATAAAGCACGCACCTGTCGCCCGCCGTGCAGTTTTAAACAGGAGCCGCGGGAAAATCCCACGTCCGCGCCCGCGGAAAACTAAAGAGCGCGCACAGGCCACCCGCCCTGTACGTTGTCATTAATTCTACGCGGGTACACATCAACGATCAGCGTTCCGGCAAGCTATTCCTTATCGACACGGGCGCCGAAATTTCGGTCATACCGTACAGCTACGGCTCACGCCAGCCGTCCGACGTGCACCTCACAGCCGCCAACGGAACGCGGATCAAAACGTTCGGGCCAAAAACACTGGTTCTCGACCTTGGACTCTCGCGCCCTTTCACATGGACTTTTGAGATGGCTGACGTCTCGCGCTCCATCATCGGCGCGGATTTTTTACACTACTTCGGCCTCCTCGTCGATATTCGACACCAGCGCCTCGTCGACCCGGCTGACAAGCGAACAGTCTCCTGTGAAGTGACCTCCACGCCGTCGGCGCGCACCACCTTGTTTATCGTCGCCCGCTCTCCGGATTGGGACCGATTATTGCAGGACTTTCCGAACGTGACCCGTGAGTCACCCGTCCCCGAATCGTTCCGACACGGAGTTGAGCACGTCCTCGAAACCAAAGGACCGCCCCTTTTCGCGCGCCCGCGGCGGCTGCCTCCAGACCGGCTCTATATCGCGCGCCGCGATTTCGAGCTGATGCAAAAGCAAGGGATTTGCCGACCTTCTTCCAGCGCGTGGGCCAGCCCTCTTTTGCTGGTACCTAAGAAGGACGGGTCTTTCCGGCCATGCGGGGATTACCGCCGGCTGAACAGCTTCACCGTTCCAGACCGGTACCCGCTGCCCTATCTGCATGACTTCACTGCAAATCTCGCGGGGAAAACGGTCTTCACTAAGCTCGACCTGGTCCGCGCCTACAACCAAATTCCTATCGCCGCCGGCGATATTCACAAAACTGCCGTGACAACTCCGTTCGGCTTGTTCGAATTTCCGGTAATGTGTTTTGGCCTATGTAACGCTGCCCAAACGTTCCAAAGGTTGGTCAACACCGTTCTCGCCGGCCTCGACTTCGTCTTCGCGTACGTCGATGACGTCCTCATCGCGTCCAAGAATACCAATCAACACGTCGAACATGTCCGCACAGTACTCGGCCGCTTTGACGATTTCGGCATAGCCATTAACCCGGCGAAGTTCGTTTTTGCCGCGAGCACGCTCACCTTTCTCGGGCATGTAGTCGATGCGCAAGGCTTACGTCCTAACCCGGACAGCGTCGACATTATACGGCGGTGGCCCCAGCCAAGCACCAAAAAAGAGTTGCAGCGTTTCCTCGGGTCATTGAACTTTTACCACCGGTTCGTCCAGGGCGCAGCCAACGCCCAAGCACCGCTGTACGACATTTCCGCGGCAATCAAAAAAAAGGACGGCCCGCTCGCGTGGACTTACGCCGCCCGAAAGGCATTCTCGGCCTGTCGAGAGGCACTCGTCACCTCCGCGCTTTTGGTACACCCGCAGCGCGACTCGCCGTTGCGCCTCACCACAGACGCTTCAAATATTGCGGTCGGGGCAGTCCTGGAGCAGTCCACCGGCAATGAATGGCAACCGCTCGGATTTTTTTCGCGTAAGCTCTCCGGCGCGCAGACTCGGTACAGTGCGTACGACTGTGAGTTGCTCGCAGCCTACCTAGCCGCACGGCATTTCGTACACGCGATTGAGGGCAGGCTCGTCACGCTTCGCACAGACCACTGCCCGCTTCTATTCATGTTCTCGCAGAAGGCTGAAAAACTTATCGACCGCCAAGCACGACACATCGCGTTCCTATCGCAGTACTTCCACGAAGTCGAGCACATCAGTGGTGAGCTCAACGTTGTTCCCGACGCACTGTCACGCCTGGAGTTGGCGCCCCTCGACGACGGGCTTCCGGACCTGGACCAATGGGCATCGGACCAGGCGAGCGACACCGACCTGCAGAACATTCTCACCGGTAAGACCAAGTCGTCGTTAGAACTGGATGCGCGACAGACGGCGAACGGACCGGTCTATTTCGACGTTGCACGTAACAGGTCGAGGCTTTTCGTCCCGCTACGACAACGTCGCGCGGTCTTCAATACCTTGCACCGACAGGCGCACGGCGGCGGTACGGCCACAGCGGCGCTAATCGCACAACGCTTCGTGTGGCCTGGCATGAACCGGGAAGTTCGGCGATGGGTCAAGACGTGCGAACAGTGTCAAAAGGCGAAGGCACATAGACACCTCGACACCGCTGGCTACTTTCGCGGCACCGGACCGACGTTTTGGTCACATCCATTTGGACCTGGTAGGCCCACTGCCTGTTTCGGACGGCGCTAAGTACCTCCTCACCTGCGTTGACAGATTTACGCGTTGGCCAGAAGCCTGGCCCGTCGACGACATGTCCGCTCACACTGTCGCGTCCACGCTAGTGACAAATTGGATCGCCCGCTTCGGGGTACCGGACGTCATCACCACAGACCAAGGCCGGCAGTTCGAGTCCGACCTAATGCGCGCGCTCAACTCAACTTGCGGTATCCAACACGTCCGCACGTCCCCGTACCACCCGCAGGCCAACGGATTAGTCGAGCGCCTTCACAGAACACTCAAGGCAGCGCTTACCGCGCAAGAATCACCGCACTGGTCCTAGCGGCTACCCATCGTCCTCCTGGCCTTACGCAACACCGTCAAGCCGGACACTGGTTCGACTCCTGCTGAACTTGTTTACGGGGCGACCCTTCACCTTCCTGGTGAGCTATTCCATTCCGCGCCCCCAGAGGTAAGGTTGCCAGATTTTGTCACGGCGCTCAGGTCGTCCATTGCCGAGCTCCGGCCGTCACCCGGATCCAATCACGACCCGGCCCGCCGTATTTTCGTGCCCACGCATCTCGACTCCGTCAGCCATGTTTTCATCCGCGTCGACGCGCAGCGCGCTCCGCTTCAACCGCGCTACGAGGGGCCCTACGCCGTGCTGGATCGAAGAGAGAAAGACTTCAAGCTGCAGCTGGGCAACCGAACGTCGTGGGTGTCAGTGGACCGGCTCAAACCCGCCTTCGTCCTCCGCGATGACCCGGTCCTGGATCATTCATACGCCATGCAGTCCATGGACCAACTCCCGACATCGAAAACACCTACGGCATTTTCTCCTTCGTCGGGGGGGAGTGATGTGGCGAACCGATGCCACATGACCTCCCTCCGTAGTCGGTAGCATTGTATTTCTTTTATTGTTATGAACGGTTGGTCACATTGCTCTCGCGCCGAGCGGCGGCCTCCGCGTCGTTGCGGCGTCCCGGCTCGCTCTCTCTCCTAGTAACCGCGAACCGACACGCACGTCCGTGAATACTCTAACCGAAGCCATCTTTTTGTCGTTAGCCAAGCAACCTCTCTGTTCGCAAATCGCATCGCGAAAGCACGTGATCGACCGTTCACATTCATACATACTGTAATTAACAATTTCTTCCGTTCTCCGAACGTCTTTGTAATATACGCGCATCGCGCACCATTCATCAAACATAAATTTGCGTTACATATTTATTTCGGCGAAGCACGCCTAGCGACGTACTTAATAGTTTTTGCGTTCCCTATACCATTCCCGGTACCTACACGCAAGCGTTGGAGGCTACCGTGATAACGGCTAGCCTACCACAATATCAACAATCTTATCAATATCAACAATCTTATCATATCAACAATCTTATCAATATCAACAATTTTATCAAAAAAAAAAATATTTTGTTAATTTTAATCATCATTGATTGTAATAAACATTATCCATACACTACGTCGGATTAACCAAAAACGACATCGGGACGAAACCCACTATCTGTAATGGTCCTCACGCCAGCAGTTTCGAGGCAAGCGATCGTCGTTCCAACAATAGCAGTCGAAGCGGATATACGTCGTTGATACAGCGTTGCTGACTACAGATACCAACAACCGCAGTCCAAGCCAACCAGATCATTTCAAAACAATCACCACAGAACATTATGGCCAGTTCAACTGCGTATTTGGTATTGTGAGTAATTGACAATTGATGTAATATTCATTTTTATTAATTTAAATTAATACATTTTTTTTCTCTCTCTTTATATATATATCAAATTCGAAATCAATATTTTTACACTTTTATTGTATTATATTAAGTAGTAAATGAGCGATAACGAGGAGGATACTACTGAGCCCAGTACTTCTAACCCGGTCCCCACACCACGTGTTAGTTTACCTGTCAGATTTGCTAACCCAGAAAATCCAAATTCAGAGCGTCCTATAGCCCTTTTATCATCAGAATTATTAGCAGGTCAAACGAATCAACTAGTTAACAATAACGAATACCTCTTAATACATATTAGTCAAAACTTAGTTGAAGTAGATGGGACACTAACTTTAACTGATAGCATAATGAATGACAATATATTAAACCAAACAATAGAACCTAACAGGGGGGAAAGTCAAACATTATTAGAACCTAGTAAAATCGCAGGTAGTTCGTTGAGCGGAGACGTCCAAAAATTGACACAAATAACAGAATCTTTATCCTCATCAGACAGAGCGGTGGACATCATAGGATTAGAAGCGGCACTAAAACTTTTACCCTCAACTTTCAGTTGAATCAATCAGGAAGACCTTGAAGTCTTTCTCGAACAATGCGAGTTTGCGATCATGTGCGCAAATGATCGTGCAACACCTAGATTATTACAAGGAATTATGATAAGGTTAACAAATAAAGATCGATCAGCAATCAAATTCCGAACCATCAATACTTGGAACGAGCTTAAGGAGACGTTAAAAAACTCACTAGAGCCTAAACGCACTACTACGCATTTATATCTAGAGCTGTACTCAAGCAAACAAAGACCAAACGAAGATGTAGCTTCGTACTCTTCACGAATTGAATCACTGCAGACACTCATCCTAGAACAGGAGACCAGTGGGAAAACTTTAGAAGCAGCTACAGCTTTGGAGAATAGCTTAAAAGCGCAAACCATCCAAGTATTCATCGAAGGACTTGGAAATCTTAAAGATTTTATAAAGGCAAGAAACCCTCCTACCTTGGACAAAGCCATACAGGCAGCACGTGAAGAAGAAAGAGTG